ATGTTATTTAGGAAACCCAGGAAAGCCAACCTGCTGGAGGAGATTGACGCTCTTGTGATACAACACTGTATGGAAGCTCAAACTGCAGCAGATTTCTCACTGTTAAATTCTGTGCATACATATACGTGTGTGTATGGTTTATAGTTAGCCGTACTGTAGCCCTTTGGTAACTGGTTCAGATCTTGGAGCTTTTAAGCGTTGTATCACAGAAAGATGATTTTTAGACTTATAGACTAATTTTTATTGGAAGGGACCCCATGTCACCTGCTCCCACCTCCTGCTCAGAGCAGGGCCAGCCTATGGCCCCTTGCTCAGAGCATCATGCAGGTGCATTTTCAAGGTCTGTGAGACCAAAGTCACTGCACCCTCTCTGGGCAACTTGTTGCAGAGTTTAATTGCTCTCATTGGAAATTTTTTACTTCTATCATGCTTCATGCTGGAATTTCCCTGGCTGCAACTTGCGGCTGTTTCCTTGTGCCCGTTGCCTGTGCACCTGTGAGGAGGGTACGATTCTGTCCTCTCTGAAACTGCCCACGCACGTGAGCAGGTTAGCATGTGTGATGTGCGAATGTGATCTTATCCTCACCAACATTTCCTCCTTTTGGCTTTCTTTTTCTGTTTGGTGAGCTCAGCTGTCGCTTTGCTGAGGTCTGACAGAAATGTGTAGGAGGTTTACGAAACATTTTGTCACATGCTTTGTCTTTGACCTATTCTTGCAAAAGTTTTAAGAAGCACTGGAAATACAGGTGAAATTCCCAATTCTCTCGTCAGAAGAGCAGTGTTATTGTAGTACAGCTGCAGACGTTATTGAGCGTGCTGAATATTCTTTAGCTTATTTTCCTTTTTTTTAATTTGAAATTAATGAGCTAGAGAAATCTTCTTAGATCTTTACTGGGTTCAGGAAGTTTCTTATTGTGAACTGCCAGAACATGTGTCGAAGAAATGCAATTAATACATGATACATAGAAACATTTCAAATGTTTGAGTTGGGCCAGTTTTGTGCTGCTACAAGAGCAGCCATCCAGAAACTGGAGTTCTTGAATCTATATTGAAGTTACTTCACATCAGCAAAATATTTCCCATGGGACTTTTTGAGGAGGTGAAGGAGGGAGAGAAGGAAAGGCTGAATTCCAAGTACAGATTCAAGTGTTGCTTTTCATATTCACAGTTTGGAAAGGTTTTACTTTATTTCTCGTCTCTGTTCTTATACATGGCCTTTATTCTTCCCTATGAGTCTTCAGTTTTCTGGAATACTTATTACAAAATTCCTATGTTAAAGTAACTGTTAGAAACCTTTCCACAGTACTCTGGCATTCATTATTCCTAGAATTTCGATGAAACGGGAGAACAATTTAATGAACTTGAATTTTGCATAAGCAATATTCTGCCTTATATGCTTGTCTGTTATCTGTCCATCTGGCAGCTCACATGCTTGTTGGCAGAAGCGCTTTTATTTCCTTTCCTGAAAAATTCTGGCATTGAATGTATAAACAAGCAGCACTTCTTTCTTCATTTATAATTCAGCATGAAATTCTGAACATTATTAGTTAATTAATATTAAATATGGTGAATTCTTGCTAGTGTGAGTGTAATGCTCGGAATTGAAGCATATGGAGTGGTACCACCTCCTCACAGTGAGAAGTTGGCAGATTGAGATCCATCTGCCAGCTGACACACGCACCAGTGCACGTCTCTGAGTTTATGCTGAGGCGATGCAGACTGCCAAGAGAAACTGTGAGTGGGGCTGTGAGAGCATCTACAATCATGACGTATTTTGGGGGAGGGCGAGTGGAAGAATTGCATTCCCCTCCCCAACTTGATAGATGCTTAAAAAAATTTACAGAATCTTAATTTGAAAATGTGTGCTGGCTTTTGGTTGCAAAATTAATTTGTTAATAGCAAACACACTGGACCCTGAGCTTAGCAGTGTGGTTATTTACAGCCTGTTGCTTTTTTGCTCAATTTACTCACCTCCTTCCCCAGCTGTATACAGCCATACAGAAAACATGCTCCCTTGCTGTGGGAGAAGTTAAATTGCTCTCAACTTGAACCACTCTGATGTGATAGTGTGTTGTGTTGGGTAGGCAGCATAACCTAGACGCTGCATCAGGGGTACGTAGGAAGATACCTGACAATATCTGTGTATGTCAGAAATACCCGATGTTCACAGACGTAGACGTGTAAGAAACTAGGCTGAGAAAACAACCCTGTTTCATATGGATCTACTGAGCTTTCAAGTGTACAGGTACATATTCATCAGGTAACAACTCCTAAAGCATTTAAACAGATTGTCTCATTTCATCGGGGGGGTGGGTAGAAGTTTGTGGTGTGATCAGCTCTTTAATACATTCCCGAAAGACACCTGTAGAGGCCTTCAAAGTTAACTCTTCTCTTTAATGTTAACTCAAATGAAATGTTACGTTTTCAGAATTGGCCAGAGAAACACAGACCTTCTGAAGTCTTTTTCTCACTATGGATAAAATTTGAAATGGTGTTAGATGAATTGGTTTTGAATATCCTCTTCCAAAATGATTTTTTTGTGAATACTTCAGAGAAAGAAATGAATCCACAGCCTTGTACAACTTCTTCATAGTATTAATAGACAAAAGCCTAAGCTTGGAATTTCCCCGCCCCCGAAGTATGTAAATCTTACCAGTTTAATTTCAGTTTTATCTGCAGAAAAGCATCTTGCACAAACTCTGCAGTAAGTTGAAACTTCTGTTTCTTGCATTTATTTTGTGATGCCTTGTGGCTTCCTGTTGTTGTGCAAAAATAACACTAATTAAAGTAATCCATAGTGTGACTGGGGAGGACTTGTCATAAACAGCAAACGGGTTAACTTAGCTGGGTGTTGCTCATTTTTAACAGAAGTTTTATATTTATGGCATGCTGTTCACAGAGAAAACTGCTGGCAAATGTTGCTATTACAGCTTTATCTTTGGTGTAAATGTACAGTCTTTTCCTCTTGTCACTTTTTAATTACTAATGGTCGTATTATATGGGGGTGAAACACAGTTTCTCTCTCTGCTGTCAGAAGCAGTAACAGGACAGACAGTAAAATGGCAAGTTGTTAGCCTGGTGCTAATGCTGCCCCTCCACCTTGGAGGTGAATTTTTTTTTTTTTTAGGCATTTGGGTAATTATATTAATGCCATATTGTATGAGGACAGTTGGTTTTGGGGAAAATTGTCTTGTGAAAAAGTTGGTTGGTTCATAAACCAAAATGTTTTCTAAAGGTTTGTAATCTAGGTAAGCGTAACTTAGATACAGCTTCCTACTCGAAACTTAAATTCATTGCTAATACCTATCGATATTTTGCCTGACCTATACACGCTATGGTTTGTGCCTTTTAAGACAGAATCTCTGCAAGCTGAAGGGGAGGAGGCAAATTGGGACTTAATTTTTTTTTTTTTTTAAGAGATAATTTCTGAAGTAAGAGCCTAAATAATTATTTTTCAAGGCTTACGTTGAAGGAACTGGTGAGTGACACTGAACCTTGGAGAGGAGGAGGATGTTGAACCCATATATAAAACCCATCCTTAGTGGAAAGGTTTTCCATTACCCTGTTATCTTTGGTCTGTATTTGCGATATATAAAGAATTAGTATCTTGCAGCTGTAACAGAAAATAAATCTGTGTTACGGAATTAGGCTAGCTCCAGCAGAGGCAAGGCTGCCATGGCTCCCTGCCCCAGGTCCAACCTGTGGCAGGGCTGAGCATGCGTTCCCGGAAGGGAAAAGGGTTTGCTTGCCCAGAAAGAGTTAGAAATAGAATTTCCTAAGAAGATAGGACAAACTGCAGATCAGACAGTAGAAGTGTATGAACCAGCCACTGTTCACGTATGAGTGACTGTTTTTATCTATTTTCCCACACTTGTTCTGCCATGAGTCATATAGATCCTTCCCTTTCCTCACCTTTTGTTCCTCCCCTAAACAACCCATAGTAAGTCTTGTGCAATCCCAAAATGCTAATCCCCTGCATCCCATACCTGTCCCATATGCTGATGCACTGACCACCTCCCTCCCAAAGGTGCTCTGGAGCTGGCTCCCCAGGATGGGTGTCACCCCTGGCTGGTGGGGCTGTGGCTCTCCCGGGACAGCCATCCCTTCCTCCGAGTCCGTAATTTGTGTTTCCCCCTCTGCCTTTGGGCTTCTGCTCCTCTGGGCTTGTGGGGATGGACCTGGGATGGGCTGATGGCTCCTGGGATAGACCTGGGGGTAGCCAGGCAGGGTGTGATTTGGGCTCTCCCTCCTCCTTTGTGGGTGTGCAGAGGGGCTTTCTATCAGATACCCAAACAATTTGTATTATAAACTGTATCAAGATTGAAATAGCCAAATTTGTCTTTTTTTTTTTTTTTTTTTTGCCTTTGTATAGTTGGTGTTAATTTTAATACTGGATTTTTTGAGTTTTTAATATGTTAACAAGTATCAACCTTTTTGTGAAGGGATTATCTGACTAAAAAAAAATCTGTCCTGCTTGCAATTCAGTTTGCCCACAAAAGTCTAATTTGTCATCCATAAAATAAATATACTTTGTCAGAGAATATATTTGTCCTGTTACTAATTCATTTGATTTATTTCGGATATTATAGATTGCCCCTGTATTGTGAGAATACTTTCCAATTTGACTTTTGGTCTCCAGTGAGCAGAAGCAGCGGCTTTTTCTAATACCTGCTTTACTGTCAGAAATTAAATTTTCTGGATGGGCAGTCATAAAAGCGAAAGCCAATGAAATAGCAGTCGGTAATAGATTATTTTTTCATGTGAGGTATATTGGCAGTCAGACGATGGATGTGTAGAAACTTGAAGGTGACGGAAGGGAGCCAATTGCTTTAAAAATGTATCCTTAGAGATTGATAAGGTGAAATGCAGTTGTGTGAGATCTAATTTATCAAATAATGTAACGTTTCTGCGAGATGATTTGCTTTCACTTTTCTATATTTTTGTTGGCTTAGGAGTTGCTGATTGTCTTCAAATTTTTTTTCTTTTTCCTTCCTTCTTAGTAAAACGCTTCAGAGAACCAAAGCATGAAAGACGCCCCTGGAGGATATGGTATGTTTCTGCATGTTTTATTCTTAATATTTTTGTTTCTTGCATGTTTTAGAAATTGAAGGAATGATTGTTTGCATGTGATGATAAAAAAAAAATTATGACAGGAAATCGGTGACTGACAGTGAAGAACAAAAAAAGTTACCAAAATACATGAGTCAACGAAAAAGTTGTCTTCTGTGTGCTTCCCTGCTAGTTCTTTCTTACTAAACACTTCCAGGTATCTCTACCAAGGTGTGCATTTAGACATAAAGCTGAAAGTCGTGCTTCCTCCTGAAGACGGAAACTTATAGTTGCCCTAAGATGTACCTGAATATCTACAAACTTTAACATAAGCTTGCAAGAAGCTCTCAGCTGGGCTTAAACAAAATTCCCTGTTCTGCAGCTATCCTGCTACGTATAAGATAGAAAACAGTATGGTAAAAGATATAAATACATAAGCCATAAAAGAATACAAGGTGTAAAAAGTATATTTGTTTTTATTATTTTTAAAAAGTTGTTGAATTGTAGCAATGCCAACGTAACCTGTACTAGTTTTGAGACTGGTGTAAATGTTAAGCTGTCATTCCAGTTGTTGAAGACTTCAGTGGTTTAAATTCATCTCATACAATGCTACTTTTCATAACTAATCCTGACCTTTATTTTATGGAAAAAATAAATACAAAATCTTTGTGTATTACAGTCTACCTCAGCCTGAAATTGAGTAGTGTGGTGATAGCCTTTAATTCTTAAGCAAAGAATCTTGTTCTGAGACTTGAGTATTGTTATTTATAGTATGGTGTACTGATTAGATAAGTAACTCACTGGCTTCCTGCCTCATCTCCAACACTCTGCTTTCTATGTTGTGCAATGAATGCAAGAGAATAAAGTTTAAGACAAAATTGTCAGGGAGGGGAGATGAATTCAGGCATAAAATGTTGTTTGGATCTGTTGGGGTGTTTGGATCTTTTTAGACATGGAAACAACAGGCAAAATGGATGTTGGTCTGTATAAAGAATGAACTCTTGCCTACAGAATACTTTTGACATGGTTCCTATATTTAACATTTAATAAAACATCCATTGGAAGTTTTGTTTTTGTGCGAAGGATGATGATAAAAGAATGGTAAGTGCTGGAGTCAATACTGAATCAGTACCTGAGGGGTTTTTTATATTTTCCCTGTAAGTAGCAAACTATTTTCTCTCTAACTCTGCCATCTGCTTTGGAGAAAATGCTTTCAAGTTTGTAATTCTTTTGCAGTGTGGTCTAAGCTGTTGTACTTTAGATATAACTCAGTGAGACCACTTCATGCTTTCAGGTGAAAAATATGTTGGCTTTTTAGCAAAATACTATAGATAGAGGAGTCATTAGCCAGATATTAAGTTGTTCACCAAGAAGTACCCGATAAGGATTTTATTTTTGTCTGTGCTGTAAACTTGCTAAAAATGCATAAACATAGGAGGACTGAAATATCTAGCAAGGCTTGGATACTTATTGTTTACAGGAGGTTATTAAAGACTTAGCTAGGTTTAGTGAGGATTAGCTCTTGGATAATGCATATGATATCAAGAGGATATCCCTGGACTTTAAATTTACAGTAGTAAGGTTTCAAGTTAGTACGATTTGGTTTATTGTTAGCAATATTCAAGGAAAAAAAAGGGGCAGAATTTAAAATGGAACATTGTTAAATAAGCTAAATACCATGACACTTTATCATTCTGGTGTTCTTATTTGAAGAAAAAAATAATAATTGAGATGGAATTTTAATTAACACAAATTTGCAATGTCTGACTGTGGTGTAAACAGTTTTGTGTGCCTTAAAAACTGTTTTTACTCCCTACAGGTTTTTAGATACTTCCAAGCAAGCAATAGGGATGTTGTTCATCCACTTTGCAAATGTCTATTTATCAGACCTTACAGAAGAAGACCCTTGTTCACTGTGAGTGTTTAATCTCAGAATAATTGGTCTTTATGGAACTTCTGCTCTTGAGTTTGATGGTGTACGTGGACAATAATGCAAGATATAGCTGAGAGACCAATTTTCATGGTAAAAATCAATCACTTTCAAAAACCTGTGGTTTAAGCATAGTTCATCAAGGATCAGAGTTCTGCTTGTCTAGTTCATGGCTGGCAGGACCTAGGAAATCTTTTTCTGGGCTGTATGTAGATATACATATAGATATAGGGTAAACTCTTACTACTTCTCCCTCTCCAGGTAATGAATGAGGACTTAGGATGCGCATTGTAACATGAGGCTGTTTACTGAGGAGATGCTAGGATCCAAAGGAAATTCATATAAAGTTGTGTACACTGACCTCCAACTGCACTGTTCGCTGCAGCAAGGCTTTAATATAAAGTCAGGTTGCTTTCAGGGATGTTTAGCAAAAACCATTCATGCTTGTATTTTCTTCTAAAACCTGCATTAGCTACTGCAGTATTATTTTAATTTTGTTAAAAGCAGGAAATCTTGCTCAGTACCCAGGCAGTTAGTACAAAAATTAATTTTGCAATGTCACGCCTGGAGCGGTGTGACTAAGTAGATAAGCATTTCACTGTAGTATATTAAACCTGAAGATTTTATGACTAAGACCCCATCAGGCTCTTTACAGGAGCTCCTGAAGCAAATGGTAATTGTTTGGGTTTGTTCTTGATAGGGCTCATGCTCAAAGAAGCTTACACATTCCTGGTTAATAGAAGCTGTGAAATTACTTTTAAAAGCTTAGTAATTTGCCCTTTAAAACCAATCCAGTTCCTTCAATGGCATCTGCTCACTGTTGTCCTTTGGTAAACAAAGGAGCTACACAGCTCAAGGAAAATGCTTGTGTTGCTTCACAAGCCTGTTTTATTTCCCTTATTCCTCCTTGGTTTCTTTTGTGTTCTTACATGCTATAAATGTGCAAGTAAAACACTGCTTTTCCCACCACAAAGCATTTTGGTAGGGAAAATGTATTTATTTTAACACACTAACTATAAAGTTATAATTATGACAGTTTCAATCATAGCAGGCATTATTGCAGGATTTTCCTTGCTTAACTGATTTAAGAATTTCCTGATAGATTTAAAAGCTTTCTGGTGCAAATTGCTTTAACTCCCTTTTTATATATTAAAGTATATATTCAAGTAAGCTAACCAAAGCATGTCTGAAGTTGTCAGTGTTTAAAGCTAAAGCTTAATAGTTTATTATAATATTTAAAAATTCAAAATAACTTTGTGTTGTGTACTGCATTTTCAAAATAAAAGGTTTGCTAACCATGTGCGTTCTCTTCTACATGTTTTAATATAGTCTACATAACTTTATTTTCAAATACCACTTTTGTAAAATGACACAAAACAAGTAAGAGGGTGAAGTAGAAAACTGTTATTCACTGTTCTGAGGATAACAAGAATTACAATGTGGAGCTGTATAATTTTTCAGACAAGGGTGCAGGTCCTTCTTGTTAGCACAAAAAATAGCATGTTGTATCAACCAAAGCCACTTGTCCTTTCTTGGAAAAAATGTATGTTAAGTGTGCAAATGGGTCAAAATTAGTGAGTAAAAGCAATGCTTCTGTCTGTGACTTTAAATAATAATAAGTTTACCAGCAAATTCAAACATGGATAGTTTTCTGTTCTTTCCTGTTTTATAGTTTGTGGGTCATTTTCAGAACAAAACCAGAAAATGTAGTTTCAGAAAACATTGTGGTTCAAAGCTTGGAAAGAACTACAATTGGAAGTTGCCATTTGTTAGTTCAGGAATGTAGTGCTGTAATTCAGGCAGGTGTGTGATAATATCAAAGCTGATAAAACATCTGTTAAAACACCTCGACAGATGGGTGGTTGTTTGAAGAATTTTAAATAGAAAAAGCAAACAGCACTCTTCTGTAGTGCAGGTACTCAGCTGGTTGTATGTGGTACACCAGGAAGTTTGTATGAACCCCAGCCTTTTACTTGCTAACTCTCAGCCAAATGCATTTATCTGATAGTGGCAGCAACTTGTTTTGTTGCTTGTGCCGGTGCACCAGTTACATGTCAGTAGGGTTAATGCAGTGCATCACAGAATGAGCATGTTGCCTACATGTAGTGAACCTGATGTGCTTGGGAATATCAGGCATACTTGGCCAGTGCTGTGAGCCTAATTTGATGTGAAATAGGTGTTGGCACATCTCTTCTCCCTGCTCCTGATGGCTGCCTTCCTGCTATAGACTTACAGCAGCCCCTTGTGGCCTTAAAATGACTTGTGTAGACTTGTAATTGCTGGGTTTCCTCTGCCAAACACTAGACCTTGATTTTAATGTTTGTCTAATACACAGTTCATTAAAACTCTGATTTGACGCACAACTGTTAGAAAATAACTATTTTTTAGAAAGTTCATGGGTATGTCTTGGCTGAAGCAAGGCATGTCTACTTAATTTTTATTTTTGAGCTGCTCTTGAATGGCATTTTGAGGGTCAGAATAGCTTCTCCTTTACTGTTTTGAGTGTACATATTCTGTCTTTGCTTTCCACTTTCTGATACTATTTTGTCCACATGGACTTGTCTACGCAGCCAGCAGAAGCCCACAGGTCTCTGATTTGCTGTTTTATCCCTGCAGATAAGTTCTATAGACTCTAGAGTTTACCTTAAGTGTTTGGAATTACCAAATAAGAATCTCGGTGACAGGGATTTACTGTGTGTATTATAGCTGGCTCTTTCTCAGCTGCTGTTTTGTTCAGCTAAAATCAGTGATAGTAAATAAACCAAACTGACTTACAAAATGCTCTGAATTTCAGCTGCATCATTTAATGGAACCTAAGAATTAGTTTGAAACCCATAGTAATCTCTAGTTTCTTGAAGCATAGGTTAGATCCCAGAAGCTCTTCTTTGAAGCAGTAAAATTAGTAGCACAGCAGTTGTGTGTCCGTTGAGGGGTGGTTTGGTTTGTTTGGGTTTTTTTTTCTTTTTTCTGGGAAGGCTCATTCCTGATTATTTCAAATGTTTATTGGACAAGAACTGAAGTACAAGAAAGTAAATCACTTCTCTTCCTAACACTAAGTTGAAATTTAGCCTAGTGACTATACCCTCTAGGCATGGTATTCCACTGCTCATTGCTCCTTGTTGAGGCCGGGGGGGCTCCCTTGAGCAAGAAAAACTGTCTGGTTGTGGTGTATTTCCCCCTCGGAATGAAAGTGTTTTGGGTTGGGTTTTTTTACCCTCAAATTCCTTGAGGTGTCTTTAAGATAACTTTTTATTCCTTTTCCTTTTATTCCTTTGGTTTTATTCAAATACAGGTTTTCAGTGCAGAATGAACTGAGCAGTGGTAAAAAGGAAATCTGGTTTTAATTTAAAGGAGTAAAATGAATATTGGAGTTTATGCACATGCACACACCAGAGTTCACGAAAATATAAGTTGGAGCTTAACTTTAAGGACAGAAACAAAATATTGAGACTCTTCTAAAACTATTTTAATTTTAGGCTAACTATGTAATCACAAAAGAAGGTAAATGATTATTCTTAATACTCTGGCTTCTCAACATATATACAGATCTTTGATCAATTGTGGTGTTAAAATCCACCGAACTTTTAGAAAATGGACCCTTGCTCCTTGTTTTCTTTTACATTTTTTCCTTTCAGGTACCTTATCAACTTCTTGTTAGATGCCACATTAGGAATGCTGTTAATCTACATTGGTATACGTGCAGTCAGCGGCATTGTGGAATGGCAGCAGTGGGAGTCTCTTCGCTTTGGTGAATATGGTAAATGTTTCTGTTCTTGCACTGAAATAATTTTCAGGATAGAATCTCAGAATACTTCAGCTAGTGCTTAACTCGTCTTAAAATCATTATACAATGATTATAGTGGTTATTTTGATATTTCACTTGTCACGAGGGTTCTTTTAAGTTCTGTATCTCTAACCTTCTGTGTTAGAAAGCTTAACAAGTCTAAGCATTTAGTGAGTTTGGAACAACTTGAATTTTTTTTTTTTTTTAGGAGTGATTGAACAAATTATGATACTGGCTAATCTCATGGAAAAATAACAGCATGATAAATTTACTCTGAAACACTTCTAAATAAATGGTAGCTGGAAGGTCATTTCCTATTAAAGCTTTCACTGAACCACATGCCGTTGTCTGAAGATACAGGCTAAGAGTTCTGCCAAGCCCTCTTTAAACAATCACATACCTTCAGTGAAGAGAATGGCAAGATAGCCTGTGCTTGTCCTCAAGTAACTATCACTCAAACTCCTGCACCTACAAGGGCTTGTATCACTGACAAAAAATGCATACGTCTTTCGTACAGGCTAAGGGAATCACTTTCATGGGAAGTTGTAGGTTTTATCTTCCATTATGTTAGCCACAGAAGTCCACTGATCTGCAGAAATTGTGGATTTGCAGATGCAGTTGGGTATCATACATACTCAACATCAACATTTAATTCTGTTCAACCTGTTATTTTCAGATTGGTTAGTCTGTCTAGTTGGGAATGAAAGTTCTGTATAGATGCTAAAAATTACTTTTGAAGCTCCTTGAGATAGGAAAGGGGGGAGAGGTTGCGTTATAAGAGAGCTGTGGCTCTTCATCAGAGAGAAAAACAAACAAAAAACTGGTTTGGGGGAAAAAAAAGTTAAAATAATGTTTGCCTAACAAAATAAAGGCTTTCATAGCAGTTTTGTAATTACCATTGGTAGGTTTTTTGAGTTTTTAGGTTTCTTTGTTTTTAATGAGCCTAAGTAGCTGACAGGATTAAGAATAAATAAATAAGGGCCTTGCCAAGTTGAAGCACTTTAAAAGCTCGGGAAGTTTACAATTAAATAGCATAGCATTAACTGCTATTTGCTTTAATGTCAGAGGTTTAAAATAGAGATGATGACAAGCATCTATCTTAGGAGAAATAACTGCCTATACCATTAGGGCATTTTTTGTTACATTTATGTTGATTTAATGTGTGTCTTTTAGGGTACAGTTTATGACAATTTAAGCTGGTTAAATCAGCACTGCCACAACCCTGTTTGTCTGCTTTTTTCGCTACATGCCACGGTCCAATATTTCCACTCTTTTCCTTGGACTGGTGCATATCTGACTCTTCAGCGAACTGATTCAGAGAGCTGAACCATCAGAAAATTCGCCATATGTAGAAAAGTAAATAGTTGCTACAGATCAGTCCCCAGACTTGGGTTTCTAAGGGATTAAGTAAGCAACAATGCCCAGGAAAGGGAAAAGGGCAAGGAAAGCGCTGAGACATTGCTGAGCTACACCTTCTGACTGAATTTTGAGACCTATTGCCCAAAGTCCCTTTTTCTGATTGTTGATTTGGCTTGAAGCCATTTAAAGATGTTTGAACAGCTTTCCACTCAGAGCAAAAAACTTGGTATATCTGTTACAGTTACAGGTACGTACTTGTAATCATGTCAAATACTAGATTTTATGTCTTCCTAATAGTATTCTGCCTTTTTGTCTTGTGTAATCTGTTCTGCTCTCCTGTTTTAACGTCCTTTTAACAATAAGTGGTCTCTGTGGATGGGAAGATGTGGGGAGTATATTCACTCTCCTGAAATTTGTCTGTGTCTCTTACTGACTTCCAAAATGAACCTGTTTTTATTTTAGTTAGTTATGAGGCATCTGTGACTGCAGTAGCTAAGCTCTTAAGATCAACAAATGAACTTGTTACTTATGTTCTGCTGTGGAGGTGGTCTGAACTAATCCATTATTGTAATTTTGAGTTAGGAGATCTGAAATGTCTAAACTTGTTTGTCAAGTATTTCTTCTCTGTGTGTGTATAAGCCATGTATGAAATTATATAAGTCCCCTTTACTTAGTTGTTCTTACCAATATCAGATCATTTGATTAGTGAATATTCAACTTTCTTTTCTGTATCTTCATTAATGTGCTGTCCCGACCTTAGTGTGTTGGATTTTTTTAAATCAAGCTATCGTAAGGACTATTAAAAAGCATATTGTAAATCTGTGTTTCCATTAATCATGTGGGAGAGGCTTCTGGTACAAAGAGAACTAGATAGCAGATGGAAAGTTATTAGTAAAGGCTATGCAGTAAGATTAGACCCTATGTAAAAAACCTGTCTAAAAAGGACAAGTTGCATTGGATTGTTTGCTGCCCTCTTCAGTTAAGTACTACTGTTGTTTCTGAAATGAAAACCCTCATACCACTGTTTTATTTAAAATTTTTTGCTTTGGCCCCAAGAAAATTCTTGTCTTATTTTTCATAAGACTCTTGAAAATAATTAAGTTAAGTAGAAGAGGGGACTAAAATGCAGTCCTGTGGGGTCACAAGTGTGTTTAGACTTCAGTATTTTGAAGTTAAATATGGATGTTTAGCATACATGGGTGGTGAGGTGTCTGCTCATTGAAAGGCATCAGAGACTTTTGGCATTTTATCTGTAGTAGTAAAGTTAAGTCCTCAGGTTGGAGATCAGTGTGATTTCAGTTTGTTTGCAAGTGTGGGAAAACAAACAAGAGCCCCCCCTGCCCCAACAAGTCTCCTCTTGTGATTGAGCGATGTTGTTTGTGTTTCTAGAGCCTAAATAATCATTTGTCTCAAGTTAATTCTCACTGTGAGCTCATTTCCCTTCTTAGCTCTATTACTTGATCCCTGGTGATTCACTACTTGAAGCTGTCACAAAAATAGCAGTGTCCTGCTGGTTTTAAAAGCCGCCTCTTTATATGGAGGGTAGTTTTTAAGCATAAATGCCTCAAGGAAAGAATGGATACCAAAATATCAGCATTCATAAATGGTTGCTATTTGTACAGCAGAAGAGCACTGCATGCTGATTTACGAATACAGTAGCATGATGCTCCCTCAAGTGCTTTTTTTATGTGAGAATTTTTAAGTTTATTAGATTTATTTTCATGTCTTCAGTTTTGTATTTTCACATTCATTACCTCAGCAGCTGGATTATAATAGAAGTGCAGAATCAGTTAATATTTTTTGAGTATGTAAAGAGGAGAAAAGCAGTCGTGATCTGTACTGAAAAGAATGTTCCCTGCGTTCTCCTTCCCTTCTTTTCTTAGGCTACTGTAGCTGCTGCGAGTAGAAAACAGGTGACTAAATCCCTCTTGGTGACAATGAACTCTGTTGGCAACTAAATCGTACTGTGGTCTCTTTGCTTGTCTTTGCTTCTCAGATGGCAAAGCTTAGAAATTGTATTTGATGCATCTTTTCTCTCTAGCTCTTTGTTTGCAACTTACAGAGCAACTTACTTATAGCCATATAGGGTAGAAAGCACTTACTTTAAAACTTTTTTAAACTTATTTTGGAGTAGTTCTGTGAGTTGGCATTTTCTTAAGAAAATTGCACAGGATTTGACGAACAGAAGTTACAGGGTAGAGGAATCACAGGTATTTTGTTCAAGAGCTGTCTATAAACGTGCTTCTACAAAATGGCTGATGAAAGTAGTATACGCTAATATAGACTAGTTTTTCATTGCCTGGCATTTTCAAAAGAATGTCACTGCTGAGGATTCAACATTTTTCAGTTTCAGTCTTAATGCGCTTTTCTTGCAGGAACAAGATTTCTACTGATTTGCTAGTTTATTCTAGACATGTGATTTATACATGACAGGTATAAAATTAGAATTCAAGAGAGGCTGTCGGAGACTTTGATATGAAATTAGAGCTTTATGGCTTCAACATTAACTTTAAAGTTCTAATTTGAGTTTGTGTACTGAATCTTTGAACGTACAAATGTCCCAAATATTCTTGGGAACACTTCCTGGATGTGATGATGTTACTAACTTCTGTTTTTTCCCTTGAACTGCATAGTTTATAAAATCATAGACAAAATTTGGTTGAAAAGGGTCTCCGGAGGTGATATAATCCAACCTCCTGCTCAAAGCAGCATTAACTTCAAAGCTAAAGCGGGTTGTTCAGGGCATGGTCCAGACTAGTTTTTAATTTATCCATGGTTCGAGATTTAAGAACCCCTCTGAACAACCTACGCCAGTGCTTAACCATTTTTGTTGTGAAAGCATTTTTCCTTTGTGTCAGAATTGTATGTCCACCCATCCAGTCTTTATCTCCCCAACTTTTCTATGAGGATGCTCTTGGGAGACTGTCAAAAGACTTGGTAAATTCAAAGTAGACAACATCCCTGTTCTCCCCACTTGTAATTAGAGCTGAGAGATAATCTTGTAGACGCAGTAGGGCACACAAAAATCCTCAAGTAGAATTTAATATACACAACTTCCAATTTCAGTCATGTACCAAAAAAAAAACCCCAAAAAGCCAGCGCCTCTCCCTGCAAAAACATCATGGAACAAAACATTCATTGGTGATAGTGCATAGCAGTCTTAATACAGAGTTTCACAGGTTTTGGACGTACAAAATCACATATGACAGAGTTGGAATAGATGCGAAATTGTGATAGCTGTCTTTGCTTTTAGGAATTAAATACAGATTGGAAAAGAGCTTAGAGTAAACTGGTAAAGTCTCAATGGTAAGGCTGTGGCCAAAGCTAGAATTTTTTTTTTTGTTTGCTAGTTAATGAAGAAAACTAGAGAATGCTAATAAAAAAGTGGAGTATAGAAATTAATTGCTAAAATTTAGTTCTCAAATTTAATTCAGGCCTTGTATCTTCAGAAGAATCACAGTTGCTCAACTTTGAATTCCTGGTGTTTCCCCTTTCAAATTTTCTAACTCTTTTTTTTTTTTTTTTTTTTTTCTTCTTTTTTTTTTTTTTTTTTTTTTTTTTTTTTAAACAACAGAAGCCATAAACTGCAGTACATAATTGTAAAACTTGAGCATCGTAACCGTTTTCTTCTTGGACTATTGAGTGTTGATCACTAGCTCTTACTGTAAAACTTGTTTAGGAAGCTTTCTTTGTTTTGGACTCCAGTCTGATTTATAAATTTCTCTTTGTAGCATCAAACAGTGAGTCTCAAAACTATAACCAAGTATTAATACTAAAAGCCTTTCAGAAATGTTCCAGAAAAGGAAGTAGCAACTGTCCATTATGCATTACAAATACATAAAGGCATCTGAATTTCCATTGCCCATTATTCATCCTCAGGCTAAAAGTTTTAAGCTGCCTTTGAAGATGTTGCAGAAGAGTATCACGAAGACTAAAGAGTTAACACCTCCTCCAAAGCTTCCTTTTGGTTTCCAGTGAAATGCTGCTTTAAGTTCACCTGCAAAGCTTGTTAGGCATACCAGTCCTCTTTTTTTCTTCTTTTTTTATTTTTTTTTTTCTTTTTTTCCCTCTCTTGCTTTCATAGAGTATAATAGTCTACATAAGTTTTCGTGTTCAAATATTTGTGGTCTTCATTCTGTCCTGGCAGATAATGCACTCAGGTTTTCACTCTGCCACAATGGGGTGCAGCAGAGTTTCAAACCCTTTCAGATTGAAACTAAAATGTGACCTTAATTTTTTGTTCAATTAAATTTTTCATAGCAGCTCTTGCACCTGTTTCTTCAGTTATGATTGGTTAGTTATGGTAACTAACTTCGTAGAGAGGAAAAATATGTTTGAGGTAGCCTATGGAGAATGGCAGAAATCATCGCATTTCTACTTAGACTGAAGGGAAAGATGTTTTTCCCCAGCTATGTTTCCCTTAAGTTTTCCCTTTTAAGAAACTTAATACTTCATGATAGAGGGTCAAAAATAACAATTTGATGAGAAACAAATGTAAAGCAACTATATCTGTCTCTTTCATCAGATTATGTAAAACACTGAGCATATAACTAGGTACTGCTGAATCGGATAAAGTCCTGTTATATTCAGTTTCTAACTGATGCTTTTTGAAAGTTGGGGTGAGGCTGAGGGAGGGGAAGGAGCAGCACTAAGGAAATTGGAGAAGGCACTTTAAGAGGATATAGCTGCCCTGCCTCTTCTAATACTGCTTTTCTAAAACGTTTACTGTGAAGTAAAAGCAACCCTATGCATAGGACTGGATGATCTTAAAGGTCTTTTCCAACCCAAACAGTTCTATGATTCTATGATATATTGAACCTTTCTTCTTCATTGCAGGTGACCCACTGCAGTGCAGTGCTTGGGTGGGCCAATGTGCTCTGTACATAATGATTATGACATTTGAGAAAACCATCATCATTATAGTGCTTCTTATACCTCAGTGGAAAGAGGTTTGTATTTTTACAGTGTTTAACAGACAAATGAATTTCAGGTGGAAGCTGTAAAGCAATAGACTTCTAAGAGTGTTTATTGGTTTGGCTCAAGCATCGTAACTGTCTACAGTCAATGCCATTTAACTCTGTGGTAGTGGTATGTTCTTTTAGCTTGGTTAGGATACTGCTAATTAGGCTTTCTGGCATCCATTGTCAGGAATATCCTATCATATTTTGGACGTTTTTTGTGTAATGCAATATATAAAATCTTATTCTGTCTTGTTGTCTGAGTGCTCTTGAAGCTATTAAGAGGTTCTTCCTTTTCTTAACTCTTTAACCCTTACTTAAAGCTATTTTGTATTGCTTCTTGTAGTATTTTAAAGAATTTTCTTTGCCTGACCTTGTTGATAGATCTAAACTGTAGAATTTTAGTAATTTGCAATGGATTAATGAAGCCATTGCTGATAACTAGATAAATATTTATTTTGATAGAATCTCTGCAACGTAATATTCAAAGTGATGGTGCATGGTGTTATAGCCAATTAAAACCAGTTAGTCCCTATTTTATGCTCTGGACTACTTTGGGAACTCTGTCTTCTCCTTACTGTGTACCTTGTGAAATGCTGGTCTGTTTAAATTTCCTAAAGATGGAACTTAAAACCTGTTCCTGGGGAGCATGGAGCTCTAAAAGATTCAAGATGATTCTAACACAGGTCTTCAGACTTCTGTAAACAAAAATGACAGAGATATGTTTCTTGCCAGCCCCACTTACTTACCTGTGGTAATTTATAAGCTATCCTAAGTACTTTCCTTTTCTACAAAGCTGTCCTTTTTTGGTTCATATGAATTATTTCTGTAGTGTCAGTTAGTACACGAACAGTTGCACTTACTAATCAAGTTATGTGCGCATGCTGCCATGATCTGAACTTAATTCTTTTCTTTTCACAGGTAGCTTTATTGAATCCTATAGAGAACCCGCAGTTGGAGCTGGCTATCGTCATGCTGATAGTTCCCTTCTTTGTTAATGTTAGTACAATTTGCACACTTCTGTGAGATGTTTACTTGGATATCTTTCTGCCATGTGTTAATTAACGTTAGTCCTTAAAGCACAGTGTACCTTGGTGCTTAAGTTTAATTTTTAAAGAGGAAGGGTGTTAAAGAATGGATAAAGTGCCTGGATATGTAGATTTTACAAAGCTGAAATCCATATTGGGCAAGTAACCAGACTCAGGAGAGGTGCAGTAATGCCTCATAGACCTCTTTGGGCTGATGACTTCTGTAGATTGAATGTAATACTGACATAGAGATTATAAAATTGCAATGAAATTTGCTTTAGGAAACAGTCTAAGGATAGCTGTACTGTGAAGTATCCTGTGTCTGACCATAGCTAATAGTGGCTGGCCTATGATGGAACAGAGGAAAAGTGCAACTTGCACAATCATCCTTCCCAAAGTATACTCTTCCAGTAATCTGTGATTTAGGGACTTGAGCCAGAGATGGTGGGTGTCCTTGCATTTAATAACTATTGGTGAATTTTTTTTCTTTCATTAATTTGTTCAAGGGTAGATTTTATCCTTTGAGAAACAAAAGTCTGTTGTGCTAAGATGTCCATCCAAACCGTTCACATTTCTACATGAAGAGTTAATATATGACCACTCTGAATAGCAGCTGCTTCTCTTATTTTCTTCTCTTCTACAAAGGAATAAAGTAGCTATGTTCTTGAGCGTTCATGCAATGTGTAATAAGTCATGTGACTGTATGCCTATACAAGATTTTACCTGTTTGGTCAATTCAGAATTATTGTCAAGTTTTCCTAATTATGTCCAAATACTGACTGAATGAACATATGCTACTCTGAGGAAAACTGAACTGTCACTTCCCCCTTCTCTTTAACAGGCATTAATGTTCTGGGTAGTAGATAATTTTCTTATGAAGAAAGGGAAGACAAAAGCTAAACTTGAAGAAAAGGAGGCAGGACAAGATTCAAGAAATGGAAGTAAAGTCCGATACAGGAGAGCAGCATCACATGAAGAGTCAGAGTCAGAAGTATGTAGAGTTAATTATTGCAATTAATGCAATATCAATCCAGTTCATTGCTTATGCCATTGATGTAGTTGTAACACTGTCAACTTAGTTTTGATTTTCATTGCGTGTACCTCTAACAGTAGTTCCTAGCATTTGCAGTTGAGAACCAGTTAAGAAAAATGGCATTGTTGCACCACTCATGATAGTTAATTTCCTTCCGGATGGGCAGGAAGACATATATTTAAATATCACAGTGTTTACAAATGCCTCTAAAAAAACGCACATGGAATACAAAACTAATAGACAATTCTAATTCAAAGAGAGGTTAATAGCTTAAAGTGAGAAGAAGCTGGTTGGAGGCAACTGGTCTGACTTGTAGTTACATCCTTGTCTTAGCATAATTTTATTCTACATTATATTAAGTGGGTAGTTTTTCAGTTCACCTGAAAGATGGGTGGTATCTTTGAAGGTGAGTTGTTTTTAGCTTTAGTTGGTTAATGTAACTTTTCTGTGTTATAGACAGCACTATTTATATGGAGGTTTCTTTAATATTACCAGTGTGGATAGAGAGCTTATATATTCTCTCTCATTTTAACAGCAAGCTGCCGCCACTGATCTGGAGGTGCTGGAATCGCTTCTTTGGGTTTAGAGTCAGTGACTGTAGTAGAGACTAATATGCATGCATCCTTCTTCAAAATTTACTGGAGGTTCCAGATAAGACGTGGGATATTGTTTGATAGTACTGGCAGTAAATCCAAATTATATTCTGTAAGCTCTTTCTTGAGCAAATAATAAGGTGCTTTGCAAGCATTAAAAAAGTAAAAGGTTAGAGGTAGAATGAAGAAAGAGCGTGACTTTGATCATGTTACTCAGAAGCTGCCATTTGTTTTTAGATCCTTATTTCAGCAGATGATGAGATGGAGGAATCGGATGCTGAAGAGGACCTGCGTAGACTGACCAACTTAAAGCCCATTAAGAAAAAGAAGCATCGTTTTGGTCTGCCTGTATGACACGTTCCCTGACCTGTGTATTTGCAGGTTTCATGGCAAAAACTTCAGTCAGTGGGTTTTAATGTTGCAATTGCATCTCCCTTTTCATACAAACTGACTTAAAAGCAAGGTCTACCAACAGAATGCAAATAGTTGGAAGACTTCCAGTTCAGTTGCACTACAGACACACTGACCTATTATGCAAGAATGTCTTTTCATCATGTGTGAAAAACACAGCTGTTAAGGACTAGTCGCTTGGATTTGTATCTGACATTTCAGAGAAGATCATAGAAAACAGATACAGCAATCTTTCGCTTATGGTTACTGATGGTACAGTTTAAGATGTTCTCAAAAAGGCATCAGAATCAACTAAGTTAAAGGAGTGTGTTTTATTACTAAAACTGGCTTTTGCAGCATAATTCCTAGAGCAGAATAGTTCATGGTTACAAGCTGTAACTTAACGTATTTTTTTAAGTACAAATGTTTACTTGCTACTGGGTACCTATGGAAGTAATAGGTGGAACAAAGATTTTTTTCCAAGTTTCCTTGAATCTATTTGACTATTTTATATTTAAGTTATATTTTCATACAGTTGTATTTAAAGATTCTCTTTGTCAGAGGAAAGGGTGCAGTTCCCTTTTCTTGTGCAGAACAGGTCAAAAGATTTGTAGTGAAAATCTTATTTATCCTTGTGCCCTGGTTTAAGACAAAGGGATTGCAAAGGGAAGAGCTCTCTGTCACTGCTGAAGTCACCAAATATCACTAAAAATGCAGTCCTAAGTGTGCTTTTGACCACATAATTTGAAAATACCTTTTTTTAATAGGAGGTGGTGTTCGCATATTTGACAAATGTGCACTTTAGTGTATAACAAAAATCTGTTGTGATAGGTTATTTGTGATATGAATATCTATGGATTACTCTAATTTCTGTTTCTGCAAGTCTCTTGTGCATACCTCTCAAATGACCCAAAAGATGGAATATTTCTTACACTTTTCTTTATATAGGGCCTGTGGTACAGGACCGTGATCCAATTGAAGCAGTTTTGCTATAATAATTGCAGATAATTCTGTCCCTTGTTTTTTGTTGGAAAAGCAAGCTTCTATTTAATGTGCTTTAAAAAAAAGATTTCTCCTGTTTAATTTCCATAAAGTCTGGTCATCCTTTAGTATTTAAAAAAACCAAAAAAACCAAACAACCCAAGAGGTATAATACAATTGTTACTACAGAACTTCTGTGATTTTCAGTGTCTTGTCTTCTGATAATTGACAACATGTGCTGATCTGAAACCTAGCAGACATGTTTTCAGTGACATCCTTTTGCTTTGCATATTTTCTAAATGATTGTTTCTGACAGCTTTCCTTGCTTAGTTAAACCTTGTGCAGGACAAGGCGATGTGTCAAAGAGGTGACAACAGACCTTAACTGCAAATCTGTTGTAGTATCTGGACATCAGAAATGTTCCAAGCCTTAAACCAAACAGTTTCATTGGAAAACTGCTCAGAACTTTTTAAGGTTTTTTACATTTTTTATAGATTTACTAGGTCTTAATGTGAGTTATTATTTAGACCACTTAAATGAGGTTCTTGGGCCTTAGTAAATACTGAACTGTGCGCTCCCGTACTTATTTTCACTATTCCAGCATTCCTTTTCACTGCTTGGCTGCTGAGGTGAACACAATGTTCTGAGACTTCAGGTAGACCTCAGCGTGTCCAGCCAGCTAGAAGGGTCATTTTACCAAACCTAACATTTGTGAGTTTAGTTGAGCCACTGACCTCTGTTACTGTGCACTGAAATGTAGTAACTGCAATAAGTTTAAGTACTAGTGTTTCTTTTAGACTAAATCTAGAAACTAATGACAATGGAAGCTTAATTGAGTTATTCTGAAATGGGGGGTGGAGGGATGGGGAAATGTCCCTAATCAGCGTTGCCTCTGTTTTAGGTTTTTTGGTTTTTTTTCATTGATTGTGTGACTTGCATCTTCTCTTGGCTGTTTACCACTGGGCAGGTGCATATCTCCAAAAGCACAGTACTTCAAGGAATTCATTTTCATCAACAGAATAGTGTCATTTTTCCAAATGACAGCTCACTTTTCCAAAAGGATTTAAGAGCTAGGACTGGCTCTTGTCGTGAGTGTCCACATTTTATTTTTTTTTAGCATAGGATTTGTTCTATTTCAGATAGTGAAATAAAGCTATTCAACATGTGCTACATACACATGGCACAGCCATCACTATCCTCATCAACCATCAGAGATAACTGAGCAGCGCACACAAATTTAACTGTATGAGCTTTCATTTTATCTTCCTTTTCCCTCCTTTTCTCCAGTTACTTAAATTCTCAAAATTATTTCTATTTCTAGTCTCATGTTTAGTCTGTGAAGTGTCAGTATAAAATTATGGCCTTAATCATGTAAAACATTTGTTTTGAGCAGACCTCAAACTTACTGGCCAAGTACAAAACAGTGTAAAGCACTATGGAGCAGTTTCTTGAAGCTGGTTGTAGCAAAGGTATATGAATGCCTACTTTTCCTGTCTTAAGTGCTTAAATGTCACTTGGTTTGAGATTTTGATATGCCTAGCAAGATGATGTAGTAAAGCACTATGAGCCAAAGAGACAGAAATATGTTAAATGCTATAGCAGTAACAGGAGGAGCATTATCTTCAGAGGGGAAAAAAACAGCTCTAACTTTCTCTACTAAGATAAAAATTTTATTCACAACCTTTAGCCAAATAACAAAAATTTTTTCTATCCATTCTTTGTTATCATGTGGAAGAGATGGAAAATGTAAAATTGGCAGTTTTCCTCTTTGTAAGATAAAAATTGGAATTCTTGCAGTAGGTACAAGTAGGACAAGTGCTTTTGTCTGAAGAGCTTGTATGTGTGAGAAGGAAGTATGTGCCTAGTGCTTCACTCTATCTTACTGTTCATCGAAGTGTATTGGCAGTACAGTCTGAAATAAATTTTTCATGAAGAGTCGATCCAGTAATAATATTACAACATGACAATGTTTGCATTATCCTCAAATTGGCACTCTAAATTTATGCCTGGTAAATGTACTTCAGGACAACTCATAGCAAAGGTTTAATTCAGGCTGTGCTTAAAATGTGATTCTGTTTAATGAAAATAAGCTATGTAGTATATGCCAAAGTAAGAGAAAGGGATTGTAACTGACAGAAGAGAGACAGAAGTATTGGTGGAGATCAAATTTACCCCAAGTGGTCAACCTAAATGTATTAACTGTTTCTAGTATCTGACCTGTGACACATCTGCATAAATTTAAAACACTGGTGTTGTCTGATACATCGTTTTCAAGTTCTGGCTTTAATATGTTCAGGTCCCCTTGTCTTACTTTAAGTAGGTAAGTGCTGTTGTGTTAATGTTGCTAACTAAAAAGTATTACAGCTTTTCTTCAGGGAAAACTCAGAAATTGAGTTGCAAATTAGAGCAATGCAAAGTGAACCCTCCAGCAGGTGTGTGCTCTGATTCCAGCTGTGCCTGGGGAGGGAGGCGTAGGCTCTTGCGCTCTGCTGGGAGCTGAGCATCACAAGGAATTTCTGCCACTGTGCTTGACTAACCCATGTTTGCAACTTTGCTGTGCTTTTTACAGGAGAAACCAATAATGAAAGCAAATAAATTCAGCCACATCAAGTCAGAGTAGATCTACAGCATAGGCGTGCAAACTTTTTTAGGTAAAGTTTCCAGTTCAATTACTGAAAATGACTACTATGGTTTTACAAAGTAAAACTGCGGTATCTTTAAAAAAGGGACTCTTTTGTAGGTGTTTTTGTCTTGCATGGGTACCTGTCTCAAATTGAGTGTTGGGTTTGTTTGTAAGTAAAATCAGAGTATAGCCTATGTGAGGAAAACCAACAGCTGTATTTTGCTGCCCTCTGGACCATATTGTTTAATCAGTGGTATGACCTTAAACTTTTAAGGGTATCTGATATAATTACATTGTATAATGGTTTACAATAAAGTTTGACTTATTACAGATTTGTACACTTGTTTTATACTTGTTCTGTTTAGAAGTGCGTGTTTCAATGTTTATAATGGGCCATTGTGGGAAGCAGGCTTTGCTACTGGAGTTTACCATCAGAACTGCAGATCTGATTTTTTTTTTGTACTCTTATGTTGGTATTAATTTCAATATATTCATTTACCTTAATAGCAAAGCCCATTTCAGTTGGAGGGACCGCTATTCTTAAGTGGCAAATTTTGTTTACAACTGTAAGAATCCTTGGAAGCTCCTCTCGGATCTGTTCCCTGAGGAGGAGGGGTTTTGCCCTCTGCGTGTGCACGCATGGAGAATAACCATCTGTATTTTCATATTGAAAATAAAACCTTCAATGTGGAACCTGAGAACTCCTGAGATTGCAGAACATTGACCTGAGGCCTTCTGCAGTGTAGGATGGTGTTAAAATGCTTTAATCGCACAGCTGATTATCACAGGCTGCTTTCAGCTTTTCATGCAAAGCCAGACCTTTTGGTCATTCGCAGCATGAATGTGTAATCTTCAAAATGTCTGAATTTACCTCAAATGTCCTGCCCCTTGGCAGAGGCATGGCCTAATTCAATAACTTGTTAACCTGTTTTATCTTCTGTTCCCCTTCTGATTTGTTTGCAGCAGGTAGTAGAAATGAAAGCTGAGGGAAGATGTCCGAGGATCCTGTTGAGAAGTTTGCTTGTGCAGTGCCTTGTATCACAGAACTCATGTAGTACCTCCTTGGAGACAGAAAAGGGCCACGTGGGGATGTGTAGTTCTAGGACCAAGTAGCCTCTCTGTCCCCTGTCTCCAGGGGGCAACATGCTGGAGATGACCAGTGTCTTCCTTGCTTACTTTAATCCCTGCTACTTCCCAAAACCATGCAAAAGGGGAAGGGGGAAGCAGTGCTGATTCTTTGCTGTCTGATGAAGACATCACTCCTATGTGCTATCTATGTAGTGCAGTGTTGTCTCTTAAGCTCCAGGGAAGCAGCTGCTTTGATTACCAAAGTGTCTGCAGCAAGCGCTTGGACTTCCTT